GCCATTAAAAAAAAGTCACAGTTAAGTAAGCCAAGAATATTAAGGCATTAGCTTTCTAGAGGCTCTGCCAAGAATGACTAGTTGTAAAATGCACTTCTGTGTAACTAGTAAGTTGATCTGCCATATGGTTGTTATCAGTCAGTTTAAAATTGGAAGATGTCTGCCAGTCAGTAAAGGCAGTTTAAAGTTTAGAGTTGATCTTAAGCGTTCCTTTATCAAGTGATGAGACTATGGGCCAACTGTGTTTAGAACCTCGCCTAACTGATAACAAAATGATGACATAAGCATAAAAAATGCTTATCTTTCTGTATTCTGTTATGTATATTTTGGGGAACAGAGGGAGTGAAGGAAAAAGCTTTACTTCAAATGATTTCTCACTGGAAATCATTATAGGATGAGTTTAGAGTCCATTGTTCCCCTCTCTGACTATGCTGCTCAAGTATATTCTGATTGAAGATTAACCTGTTTGGAAAAGAATTTTTAGAAAAACTCATTTATAGTATTCTTCTCCATCCCCCTCAAAAAGGGAGAATAGGTAGCAAGAATTTTCAAGATCCTCAAAGATGAACTTACTGCCCAGGAGGCTTTCTTGTGTTTTAGAAACTCACAATTTTCACTTGCTCCTTTGTGGTATTTAGCAATCACAATATCCTAAAATATGTAAACATTAAAAGAGCATCACCTTATTAAGGAATTATTAACTGAAACTGTGATAATGGTATGGTTGTGTTAAAAAAAGGTCTTCATTTGTTAGAGATACAGACTTAGTTATTTACAAGTGAAATGATGTCTGGGATTTCCTTTGAAATACAGTACTTCAGCACACATATACAAACACGCATACACACACAATAGGGTGGAAACAGAACAGGATTGACCTTGAGTTGGTAACTGCTAAAGCTGGATGATGGGTACACATCATTACACCATTCTCACTCTATGTATGCTGGAAAATTTCCATAATAAACAGTAAAATAAACAAAAAGATTTCCTTATTAAGATAGACAATTAGTTTTCAGAATGGTTCTTTTGAGAGTTTGTTGAAAGCTATCTGAAGATGCAGAATGAAAGACCAGATGTAACAGAGTAAAATGTTTTGCAAATTTATGAAGGGTAGATACGGAAAAAGCATCACAATTTAGAGAAAAAAGTCAGTTGCAAGTGAACATTAACATAACAGAAATACCTGAGGAAGGCTAAAACATCTATTTCAGCAGTGACAACACTAAAGTGCAGTTGTAAACCTAAAACCCCAAACCAAACACAATCCAACTTGTACCTGGCCACCGCCTATGCCCGTCCATGGTAGGTGTCGGTGTCCAGGGAGGCAGAGGATTGAATCATTACATTTTACATCGTTAAGAGCAAAAGCCAGGAGAGAAGGGACGGGAATGCAATAGCTGAGAAAATGCGCCAGAGGCAAACGCCTGGGATCCTGCCTTTGTCACTTAGGCTGGGACCTGTCCAAGCTTCAGTCCCTCAACCGGGGAGGACAATGGTACCTACCTTACAGGGCTGTTGGGAAGTTTAATTATGAGAATGCATGTAAACAACACCAGCTCGTAACTGGTAGGACCTGTTGGTGTATTATAAGGACGGAGCGTTTAGGAGGCGGCCCGGGCGAGCTAAGGACGCCGGCGCCGCGGGAAGAGGACTCTGCTCGGTCTCCACCCGACGTCTCCTAGCCAGAGGAGCAGGCCCAAGGGATGCTCGGGCTTCTTTTAGGCGCCCGTTTCAGGCTCCCGTTCGCTCTCCGCTCAGGCTGGGGCCCAGCCTCCGGGCGCTAGAACCAGTCTAGGCGGCGGTTCCTCGTGTCCGACTCCCGAGCAGGGCCTTGCAGGGCGCGGTGAAACAGCAGCGCCCGTGGCGTCCCCCGCTCCAGCCGCGCCGGGTCCCATCCGGGTTCTCGGGGGGGCTTCCCGCCCGCAGACCGGGCGAGGCGGATCCCGGCACGCAGGCGCACTGGCAAGCGGCTGAGGGCCCCGCCGCCCTGAGTAAGGAGCACGCGTGCTGGTTTTCTTTTCAGATGGGGGACTTGGAGCTGGGGATTTTTTGCTTATTGTGTCTGCCAGAGAGGATGAATCGTAGAATCTCGGGAATGGAAGGCCCTGTAAAGCCCACATAGTTCTACTTTCTAAAGCACTGCAGATAAAATTTTATGTTAAGTCAGGCTTTGAGCTTGGCGATTGTAAAGCTTCAATAATTAACCATTTTCTATGTAGAATCAATGAGGAAAAAGAGAAGGGAGCGCATTCTACTTACAAATTAAACATTCAGGCAAATGGGACAAGCTGTACATGCCATTAACATACTAATGGTGGAGGCTGAGCTTGTGTCCTCTCGCCCTCCTCCCACTTCCCATTAATTAGAGCATGTGGATGAATTTGCTAAGAATCATCATTCATCTTTGAGAAACGATTTTAAATTTTATTTTTTTTACAGACTCCTAGAGAAATAAACCCATATTAGAGAGATTGCAGAGAAAAACCCTAAATTAGAAATGAGAAAAAGTTGAAAGAAACAAATCTAAATATAGCCCTCTTTCCTATTTTGAGGGTATTTAATGAAATCACATTTTACTCAGTTTTGTATAGTTAGTCTTGGGAGAAGCATCCCACAAGGCTGGGGCAGGGGGAAGTGTCAAAGAATGTGGGACAGATACTTTATTTTCAGGTATTGAGGGTGAACCTGATAAAAAGATTGAGAGCCTGCTTAGTTTCTGTCAATGAAAGAAATTGCAAAAGACCAGCTTGGCCCAGAAACCTGGGCCTTAAATACCAGAGAAAGGAGTAGGCTTGAGTCAGAGACTTGGGTTTATGTTCTGGCCCCAACACTTTTTACTGTTAGGACTTGAGCAAACCACCTGGACTCATTAAGTCCTTATGCTTACTGTGAAATATGGCTATTATCCATTACTCAGCCCATGAAATTCTTTTGAGGAGATAACATGTGAAAACTACACTACATAGTTCTAGCACTCAAAAGGCAGCTATAATTGAGATAATAAAATCAAAGTTCATATCTTGAGTAATGTCCTAGATATTACCTTTTATCCAAAATGAAACAGAAATAAGACATGATTTCATATATTATAGAATTCTTCCTAAAATCAGAGTAAATTAGGTTTCAAGAAGAGGGAACAGAAGCCCTAATAGAAATGTTAGGTGACACATTTTTTAGAGTCCTGAAATTGTTTAAAAAATATATTTTATTTATTTAGGCTGTGCTGGGTCTTAGTTGCAGCACGCAGGATCTTCAGTTGCGGCATGCAGGATCTTTTCTTTAGTTGCAGCACGTGGACTCTTAGTTGCAACATGCAGGTGGGATCTAGTTCCCCGACGAGGGATCGAACCCAGACCCCCTGCATTGGGAGCACGGAGTCTTACCCACTGGACCACCAGGGAAGTCCCTCCTGAAATTTTCTAATTCAAACACACAGACGCTGACCCAGGCTTCCTGCCAGTCCTATAGATCACTTGTCTGCCGGGTCTTTTTTTTTTTTAATATTATTTATTTATTGAGGCTGTGCCAGGTCTTGGTTGCGGCACGCGGGATCTTTAGTTGTGGCAATGTGGACTCTTAGTTGCGGCATGCACGCGGGATCTGATTCCCGGACCAGAGATCGAACCTGGGCCCCCTGCACTGGGAGCGTGGAGTCTTACCCACTGGACCACCAGCGAAGTCCCCAAATATTTGAAATAATGCTACAAACCACTCACAGTTAAGTATTCTCAGTTATACATCTTTATCAACAAAAGATAAATAAAATACAAAATAGACACTAATATCAGACTATGTTGAACAATTCTATGTTAAGGTAGGAATATGAAAATGTAAATTTTTGACATTCTTAAACTAGGTTAAGAATTTGATGTATTTGCATTGCTGTTTAAATTTCATACTGGTCTGAATCTAGATACCATGTATATCCACAGAACTTGATAATCTGATTCAGTTACTCTCCCACCAGCACTATTTCTGAGACGCTAACTTAATGCAATATTCCAGTGGGTTTTGGTAGCTTAGAAAAGCCAGTGAGCTGTTAAAAGTCAATGTCCTTGTGTCAGGGGTTTTAAACAGGCTGTTTTCACTGATCCCACTCTCACTGTCAGTACTATCTTCACAGTGTTCTTAGAAGAAGGCTAAAAATCGCGGCAATCTCAGTTACTAATAGCCCTACAAGCTATACTTGTAATTCTTTGAAGAAACCTTCAGCTTCAGGTTTTGCTTTTTGCAAATTTAAAAAAGACACCTGCTGGCTATGAAGATTAGGTACAAGAGTTATTCTATAATCTTTAAAAAATCTAATATTCATGATTGTTATATAAAGGCAATCACAATGAAAACAGCAATTAGTATCACAGACCATATCCTCTATGCTAAAGAAAAGGATTTCTGTGTCTAAACACTCATGTCTAGAATGGTAAAAGACCTAGTACTAACACTGACTCAAGGGTGACAAAATAGTTTTTTTCCATGAAAAGCCTAACGCATTTAGTTCTGAGTATAAGATACAAGGAAATGTTCTGAAAATCAAAATTTTATAACCAAGTGGAAAACAGGATTATTACTACACAGACTGACATCAGGGATAAAGTTTTCACACGTTCTACAGTCCTTTCAGTAACCCAGAGCTCAAGATAGGATATTAGCTTCAGATCAGAAAAATCCAAGAAGGCAAAAAGAAATGATTATCAAATAACTACAGTTATAGTTACTACTAATTAAAAAAAACGAAGCCCTTGTTTTGAGAAAGAGTAACTAACTGCCTTCAAAATGAGTGCTAACACTAGATAAAGGGCCATAAAAATTGAGGAAATGAAGTTTGAAACTTAATAAATGTTAAGATATTTGTGATAGGTGGAGAGCCAAGACCTTTTTCCACATCATTAATATAAAATTGGAAATAAAATCTTAATCTGCACTTAATATACCACTTTTTTTTCTTCTCTGTTTCTTCAGTATGGAAAGGAATGAATGATATAAGTCTTCTGGATGCTTTAAAGTCAGGCAGCAAGGAGAGTAGATACAGATTTTTCCATTGATAATCATCAGCAAGAATCTAAAAGAATGTATCAGCAGAGTCTATCTTCGGTGACCATCTGTGACCAGTTACTACTGTCCGAGGAAGGAGGCCATGGGGTCATCTGGCCTCTGACGCTTCATTCTGTAGGCCTCCATTTCCTCTTCAGTGGGTTCCCGAGTTTCATATATGCTAGTGTAAGGCCGCTTCCTCTCATCAATCTGCATGATCTCCTTGACATGAAGAAGACGGGCCTCCTCTGCATTCAGTGCCTATAGTGAGAAGAAAGAAATGAATACCGTGGCTCTACATCAGATCTCTTTTGTGCAAAAGTGGTAGAGTACCAGAAGACCCCACTGAGTATGAACTACTACATCAAAAACCTAGATTGCGGGCTAGGTGGCGCAGTGGTTGAGAGTCCGCCTGCCGATGCAGGGGACACGGGTTCATGCCCCGGTCCGGGAAGATCCCACATGCCGCGGAGCGGCTGGGCCCGTGCGCCATGGCCACTGAGCCTGCGCGTCCGGAGCCTGTGCTCCGCAACGGGAGAGGCCACCACAGTGAGAGGCCCACGTACCGCAAAAAAAACAAAAACAAAAACAAAAAACCTAGATTACCAGGAAGAGCTTGGGAGTCAGCCCTTTCGCTGTCAAGCTACAACTAATCACTATTTGGCTCATACATTTTCATAGAGCACAAAATATTCTATGACATTTTCAATGAAATTTCAAAGAAATTTTATTTAACAACGAAAATTGAATGAGGTTTATTTTACTGACAGAAGCCGGCAACTGATGCTTTTTGGTGGAGACTGCAATTCTCACTTTTCCCAAGACTTGCTGAAACTTACAAATTATAGAGCCAGATGGCAAGTCTCTCTGGCGAACATGTCATAACTCTAAAATAACAACTATACCAAGCATTTTTCTTCTGTGCATTAGTGATATTCAACAAATAGTTCAAGAAGCAGGCAATATCGAGACACACAAAATCTCTATTCGTATTCTACACCTAATAGGTGACCTGAGCAAATCACCCAGACTGGGGGCTCATTTGCTCATTTTTAAAATGAGCTTGTAAATAGGACTAGATAATTTCCTAAGGTCCCTACAAATAAAGAATGCTGTGGTCACTTTTACTGTTTATTTAGGCTTCACAAAGTACCTTTTTCAATTTTTCATGTTTCTTTTCTTCGTCATCACTCTCTGAACTGCTCTTTCGATGCTTCCTCTTCTTTTTTTTCTTCTTTTTCTCCTCTTTTAGTTTTTCCTGATGCATCTGATTGCGAGGATGCAAATATATAGTGTTGTTAATGCAAAAACAAAGTTCTAGCACAAGTTTTAAAGTCCTCCCTCCAACACTTAAAAATTCAGGACAACTGATCATGGACTTACCTCCATGAGGGTCTGAGGTTTTTTCACAGATTCTTCTCCAGTTGTATCATTTATAATACACTCCTCTGAATTCTGTGGAAAAATATATGTAATCTAACTTGAGAGTCATAGTTACCAGTCATCTAAGAAAAAGTTAAAATTTGAAACATAAAAATCTATGTTTCATATAAATTTTGACTTAAGAGCTTTGGCTGTTGTTCACTTTTAAGCACTAGAGGGCAATTACTTACAGCAGTCTCCTTCCCAGCTTCGCCAGTACAATAGGAATACTTGAAAAAAGAGTGACAGCATTTGTATCCCCAACGGCCTTCTTTCCAGTAAGAGCCCCAGATATGCTGCAGAGAGACAGAGAGAGGTTATTTAAAAATGAACCTGAAACTAGGGTCTCTCATATACTGTTTTTCTTTCTTTTTTTAAAAAATTCTATCATTAATTAATTTGATTGTTCTTAAAAACTGAAGTATAGTTGATTTACCATGTCGTGTTAGTTTTAGGTGTACAGCACAGTGATTCAGTTATAAATATATTCATTTTCAGATTCTTTCCTCTTATAGGTTATTACAAAATATTGAGTATAGTCCCCTGTGCTATACAGTAGGTCCTTGTTGGTTATTCTCATATACTGGTGATAAAAGGAGGAAAATTATGGGGATGCTAGGGCTAGCTAACAGGGAGAAGGTGTGGTTACAACGGTCTTATATTCTATGCCCCCCCAAAATTAAAAAATTTAGGCTATCTGACTTCTCTTGAAAAATTGAGGACTGGGAAAACCTGGGCCCACATTCCCACTTGTCAATAATTGGCTGTTGCTGACCAGTAGATGCCCCTATTAGACAGGGCTTGTGTTCTCTAGTTTGTAAAATTTGCCTGGCTCATTTCACTCATCTATGATTACTGGCCTAGCTCCTATTAGGTAGCTAGGTTTTTGACTCTTACTTAGAGAGACAAGTGTAGTTTGGGTACTTCAAGTACAGCAAATTATATGCTTTATCATGCGATGCAATATGACATATACTGTATCACCTATGAAGTGTTCCTGTCAAAATATTTAACTTATATCTAATCAAGCCTTTCGATCTGAATTCCTGTTTATAGGAAATACAGGGAATACAGGAATAAGTTATATATCACTAGGAACCAGTCAAATACAGGATAGGAGACAGTTTACAAGATAACTGGCATGATCTGTTAGAGTCACTGTCACGATAAAGGGGACATACATGCTAGAAAAAAGAGAGATAACAACTAAATAACAAAATAAACGTAAGCTGTGACTGGATTCTGTGTCTCACACTCAGGCACAAAACAACTATCCCCACCCACTCCAACCAAAAAAACCCAAAGAGTTACTTAAAGGCATTTTGGGGTATATTTTGGAAAATGTGATTAAGGACTAGAGATTAGGTGATATTAAGGCATTAATGTCAATTTTCTGAAGTGTGATAATGGTAATGTAGTTATATAGGAGAACATCCTTAATTTTAGAATACATGATACAGTGTTATGGGTGAAATGTCATGATATCTGTAATTTCCAAATGTTTCAGTCAAAAAAATATACAGTTACTTACACACACACACACACACACACACACACACACACACACACTCTTCTAGACAAAGTGTATATAGCGACCTGTAAAAAAAAAATTGGAATCTAGATGGTGGGTATATGAGTGAAAATAATAGTATTCTTTCACATTTTGGGAAAATTTCATAAAACAGCAGTTGGTGCAGCCACTGTGGCAAACAGTATGGAGGTTTCTCAAAAAAACTAAAAATAGAACTACCATGTGACCCAGCAATTCCACTCCTGGGTATATATCTGATAAAAACAAAAACACTAATTCAAAAAGATACATGCACCCCAATGTTCACAGTAGCATTATTTACAATTGCCAAGATATGGAAGCAACCTAAATGTCCATCAACAGATGAATGAATAAAGATGTGGTGTACATATATACAATGGCAAACTACTCAGCCATAAAAAAGAACAAAATTTTACCATCTGCAGCAACATGGATGGACTCGAAGGGCATTATGCTAAGTGCAATAAGTCAGAGAAAGACAAATACTGTATGATATCACTGACATGTGGAATATAAAAAATACAACTAGTGAAAATAACAAAAAAAGAAGCAGACTCACAGATATAGAGAACAAACTAGTGGTTACCAGTGGGGAGGAGGGGAGAAGCAGTATACAGGGGTCGGGGAGTGGAAGGTATAAACTACTGGGTGTAAGACAGGCTACAAGGATGTATTGTACAATGTGGGGAATATAGCCAATATTTTGTAATAACTGTAAATGCTGTATAACCTTTAAAAATTGTATTAAAAAATAAGACAAAGTTAAAATGCAAAAAACAAAATGAAACACAACGACTTACTAATGAAAAATACAATCCGGAGCAAAATGCTAACAAGGAAACAAAAATAATTCTGGTTGAACACATACAGTATGATTGTGGATCTTCACATCCTCCTCATACTTGGAGGAGGCAACAGCCCGCTCCTGTCCTTTGATGACTGTCCCATGTCTTGAGTACTCCACGTAGTCTTCGGTCTGAGCTAAAAGCAGTTCAGCTGGAGGGGCATCCAAGTGTTCTTGGCCACCGTACTAAAAGGACATTGAACATTATTAAATACATTTTACAAAGATTTGCATTCAAATCTCTACTGAAGGGTTTATTTCCAATCAGAAAGATTAGAGGACTATTCTTCATGGGCTTTGTTATACAAAACACAGTGAAAAAAATGTCACCAAATTTTCACAGGCAAATAAAAGATGTCTCAATTGCCATTCATCTGTTGAGTGTGGTAGATACAAAATGCTCATACAATTCCCCTTATCCTCTGTGCATGCCCATTTGCCACATGACTTTGCTGCTCCTTCCCTTGAATCTGGGCCTGGCCAGGCTACTTGTTCTGGCCTATGGAACACTGGCAAATATGATGTAAGCAAAGACCTGAAAAACACTTGTACACTGGGGCACACTTTGTTGCTAGTTTCTGGTATCCTGAGAATGCCATGTAAAGAAGCTGGGCTAGCCTATCAGAGGATAAGAACCCATGTGGGGCAGAGATGAGCTGTTCCAGATGAGGCCTTCTCAGGACAAATGAGGGCTGCTAACTGCTAGAAACCAAAGTGAGGCTATTCTAGATCATCCAACTTCAGATAGGCAGACTCAGACCAGGAGACCCAGCTGACATACAAAATGGTGAGAAATAAGAAACGTTTATTTAAACTATTTTTTTTAAACTATTACATTTTGAGGTGATTTGTTTTGCTGCAAAAGCTCACTGATATAGCTACACTGATACTGTATACCAACTGATTGGATCAGTGGAAGGACAGGACTAATCCTGATGGATTAAAATGGACTGTATATTGTATTCCAAATGTAAATTAAATGTTTATTAACTGACAATTTCTATTTAATAAATGTTTTCCTTTACCAGTTTGGTCAAAATTACCTTTTCCAGGATGCTTTCTTTCTGCTGTTCTTTGAAGTCTTCTTTCTTGACTTTGAAGGACTTATACAACAGCTCTAGTTTTGTAGGATCAGCTTGCAGATGCACTTCAGACCCCTTGTCATAGGCTTCCCAAGCAAACACTAGGGTAATTAAAAACATCGTAATGAGCTGTCACCTACATTGTTTTCGTGCTTCTTGGAAACAAGCTTTAAAAAACGCCCCTAAATTTCTTATGAGCTGATATAAAATACCTTGACATAGAGAAAACACTTACATTGTGTCTGAGCCATTGAAATGGTATCACCTGTGTATCTAACAAAGTTATCCCCCGCGTAGCTCACTCTGTAAACACAAATTTAAAAAACAAAAACTGTTTCAGAGATTGATTTTTTTAAGGAAATTCTTTTCTGACCTGACCATAGGTGATACTCATTTTAATTCAGATTGTGGTTTATGAATAAAAGCTCCCCTCCCCTACCTTGAAACCTTTTTTTTTTTTTTTTTTTTTTTTTTTTCCGGTACACAGGCCTCTCACTGTTGTGGCCTCTCCCATTGCGGAGCACAGGCTCCGGACGCGCAGGCTCAGCGGCCATGGCTTACGGGCGCAGCCGCCCTCTTGAAATCTTACATTGAACTTGGTACTTACTCATCTGGATTCTTTCCTGCATTGGCATAGGGATTCTCTCTCATCGCTCTAGTTTTGGGATCATAGTAAGCAGAATTTGGATCTAAATTCCGCAAATACTAGAAGGAAAAAAATATTTTAAGACCGTGTTAATGATTACTTTCATCAAAGAAGATTTCAGCAGACTAGCAGGAGGAGCCAATTAAATGTGTGTGTGCATGTCTGGGGTACAGGTGAAGAGAAAGAAAACCGGAATGACACCTAACCTTGGAATGACTGACTATATTACCCATATACTACCGAGATACCATATTAGTAGACAAAATTTAGGCTGGGAAGACAAATATTTTTTGAGTATGTATGTTGAGTTGGCAAGGCTTACTTTTGCAATATCTTCTCGAATCCTGAGATTCCGGACAGTAATTCGTCTCTTAGAGTCAAAATTCTGTCCAGGCATGTCAATGTCATCTGCATATTTATCTTCATCCTCATCTTCACTGTTATGATCTTTTTCCTGAAAGAGGAAGAGAGAGGGAAAAAAATTTTTAAGAAAAAAAGAGCAGCATCTAGTTCTTGTTTTCCCTTTAGCCAAACCCTTACTCACTGTGTTCTTTAAACCTATTATTATTATGAATTATATATTACTATTAATATTAGCCATCAGAAATGTAAAAATTTAATGGATATCCAGATAGGGCATATATTTACTACCGTCTGAGAATTTGGTTCCTCTTCTCCCCACTGGTGTTTTGGAGAATTCTGTGTCACGAAAGAAGGAAACGAATTTGTAATTGTATTCCACTGAATCAACTGATTATTTAACACTTTAAAAACATAGTTAAAATAACATATTTAACTGAACAAATTCTCATATTTCTCACTTGTAGCGAGCACATAAGTTTTGAATACAAGTACGTCATTGTGAATAATTTTATTAGGCTGTCTACAAATCCAAAATTTTCATTGATGATAGGACTGTAATCACACAAACGTAATAGAAAGATTAAGTTGATCAGTATACCTAATAAATACTCATTTCATATGTGTTCAATCTTCAGACATAACATTTTCATTAAACTTCACTGTTTTTCTATTAAGGCCAAAAAGAAAAGTTGCCAGGATCATGTAATAAGTATCTTTAGAGCCAAAATAGCCTTTGTAAAATTTAGGCAATGAAGAAATCTACTCAGGTGACAACACGCTGTGATTTAAGAAGCGTGCAAAATCCTTGCTTCAAAGACACTCTTCATTAGCAGTTGGTCACGATATTCTCTATCTCCACAAAATGCCGAGAGCAAAGTGCTCAGTACTTCCTCATGTCCTTTTAAAAAGGCTTCACACGTTCAAAAGAATACCTTATACCATTAGTGGGGGGATGTGGAAACGTGTATAAAAAATATATATATATGGTATATTGGTGGAAGCAAAAATTTGTACAGGCTTTCTGAATGCTAGCTAAGTGATAAGTCATCAAATTTTACATATACATATTCAGTGCATCAACAATTACACTTTTAGGAATTTATCATAAAGAAAAAATGTCTATTAAATAAAAGTCTTATAAGAATCTAGTGTTGGGTATTGTACAAATAATTGGGAAAAAACAAATCAACAAGAGGTGATTGGTTATATAAATTATTGCACTCAATAAACACTGAACAACCATTAAAGTCATTTTGTCCAAGGTGTGGAAAAACACGTATACTTTGCTACCTTTTTTTTGGGGGGGGAAAAAAAAGAGGGAAAGATGGGAATAAGATTACATATTTGTATTTGTTTGTATTTACACAACAAACTCTGAAAGGATCTGTAAGAAAAAAATGGTTATGGGGGGTGAGGTTTAGAGATAGGGTGGATGGAGGCACATCTATCTTCTTAAATTATTTTGATTACTCAACCATGTGAATTTATATAAAAATAAATGTTACAGGTCTTTATTTAATGATATGGAGAACAAGTCCTCACTGCACTGTATATTGTTAAATTAAAAGAGTAGGTGATAAATGAGTATGTAAAGATGAATCCATTTAAAAAACATGTTGTATGATAATCACACACATCCATGGATGTATGTGGGGGGTGGACTAGGACACTGAATGGCCTACTTGAAAATGTTCACAGTTAACATAGGGGATATTTTTCTTCTTTATAATTTTCTGTGTACTTTTTCTGAATATTTGTTGCCTTCAAAATTGGGAATTTAAAAAAAAATATTTTTTGGAGTTCTTACAGGTTGCTAGTTCAATTAAAGGACATTTATATTGCTACACAGACAGCTAAATCTCTATAGTAGACATAGCTCTACTATATGCAGTTAATCTTCATATCCAAATGGGCAAAATTCATACTTACTTTCCCAGTAAGTATGCTTACTGGGAAAATAAATTATAATATGTTTACAAGAAACAACAACAAAGAATATGTTAGAAAAACACCCTCTTCTTTTTTCCAGAGTTGGTAATGATTAACAATAGCTACCAATTACCAAGTGTTTACTCTGTGATACGTACGCTAAACCTCCTGGTGGGGGTAGGTGTTGTTATCTCTGCTTTAGAGATGATCAACTGAGGCTCAGAGAGGCAAATTAATTTTTCCAGGACCACCTAGCTAGCCAGGGGCAGAGCTGGGTTTTAACATTATCTGTCTGTTAACTTGTGCTTTGAACCTGCCTGATAGGTAGCCTCTGTGACTGCTCACTTGGTGATTAACTTACCTAGTTGTGTTTTCTTTGTAATTATACTTGCTAAGGGTCCCTTTTAGAAGTTTAAACTCGACAACTAGAAAATGTTTATTATTTACTTATGCCATTAATTTGTTAAAAGAAATTTTCACAACTCTAATAAGTATAATATACTCTAACTATTAAGTTGACTGGAAGAAAAAAAAAGGAAAAAACCTGTCTGCAATACGTCTTTTTTGTTAGTTTGAAAATTTTTTGCCTAGCTATAAAATTATTACATGTTCATTACGGAGAATGTGGGAAATACTAAAATAAACAAATAAAAAGAAATATTCACTAATTCTATATTAAATGAGAACTGGTGTTCTGGTCGTCTTCCCTGTGTGGTAATACTGTAATATTTTACATGTGTCATTAAAATGTAAGTGTTAGCCAGTGTTGTTACAAAGTTTTAATAAAAGTCATTTTACATTCTATCATGCAGAGGAAGGATATAGCTCACTTCGCTAATTCCCTATTAAACTATTACAATTTCTTGCTGTTGTTAAAAGTGCTGCAATGAATATCTTTGTGCATAATGACTTTTCTGAATACTAGAAAAAATTTAGGATGGATGGATTTACTAATTTAGTTCCAGAAAAGGTATATAAATGTTTTATGGCAATATTCTCTCCAAAATGATTGCATCAATTTATAGTCGCATGAACCCTGTAAGTCAGTTTTACTCTTTCCACTCGATAGA